TTATAAGTTCCAGTCAGTAATATTTTTATTTTCTGAACAAAAACTGGAATGTGAAAGAGCTTGGCGGGAGATCGAAATGGCGCAGAAAGAGTTACGATTTCAAAGGGAGTTATTGGAGAATGCTCGAGCGAATTTTCAATCGTAAGTTTGTGATCATTATTGTAGCTTGCCTAATAGTTAAAGAAAGAAGCTATGAATGTGGAAATTGCATATTGCGGAATTAATAAATTATTATAAAGTAAGCATTTTTTTCTTTTCTATAGTTTGAGAGTCGGACATCGCAGAAAAGTTTAGAAAGGAATTTGTGGTTTAAAATAATATAATTCAGGAAGAAAGACAGCGAACTGTGTCTTATAGAAAAAGAAAGATGTTCACTGGAGCAAATTAAGGATGGTCTAAAGATTCATGAAAAGAATCTTGATCAAAGACTGCAGGAAGCGATTAGAAAAGCACGCGAAAAGGATAGGACTCGAATAATGCAAATGGTATATTTGTTTCATTTTTACAATTCATGTTATCACATTAATTTTGAAGAATGTTAGTGCTGGAAAGGACTTTAGATTTCTGAATGGAATAAAAAGAAGCGATATTGTCGAAGAAATATGAACTAGTTTGGGATAAAATATGTGAAATTTCCAATGGACAAGAATTTTCTGCCAAGGAAGCAGCATGCTTTAAAAAATTGCAAGTATGTCTTTTATTTAAATGTGCAAAACCTTTCAACGTTTAATACTGTACTTTTGAAATACCTTTTTCGTAGAATTCTTTGCTGGATTTTTGTGTTCGGGCAAAACGAGGACAGTAAGCAAGAATAGAAGGGTCACAATAATCTAGAAACTAAAACCTATAATTGTGGATCATTTTCAGAAGAAATTTTTTAAGTAATCCAACAACAGAAGAAACTCACAGAAACTAACGAAGCTTTACATGATGCTTTAAATATGCAACAAAAGACTAATGAAGATTTGGAAAATGTTAAAAAAGAGAAGGAGAAGTTATCTGAAACGGTTCTTTAATACAAGCTTCATTCATATATTGAGTTCTCCATATGCAGTCGAAAGTTGTGTGACATTATTGAGTAAGAAATCACGGAATAAATTAATCTCGTCTAAATATTGATATTTCAACATCTTAAAGGATAACTTATTTTTTAGACCCTGGGATGATTTCACTACATATATATCGTTTATCATAATATACTGTTTTTCGTAGAAATCAGTTCATTAAGTCGATGTTAATTTAAATATGAACTACAAGCATAGAAACATTTTTTCCAGTGTTATTTAATTATTTTATTTAATCATAATATCACTTTAAATCATTTCTCTTTGCAGATATTGAAAATAAATTTTAGAAATAAATTTATGCATGTTTCACGTATTATTTGCTTCAAATTTCAGAATCGAAAATTGATGGAAAAATTAGAAAGACGAAATGCAACAATTAACAGTTTAAAAAAACAATTAAAGTTACTGGAAGAATCGGCTGCCTTACGTATCAGTGAACTGAAGTTTCAACATAAGTTAGCTGTAAGCAATTATGCATATGCTTCTTAAATTATGCTTGTTTTTTGAATATTTTAGGACTTTTCCGATAGGAAAAAGTTGGATAGAAACAATTCATTTGTCTCTATTGTGTGTCTGTGCTTCCTAAGCTGTTACTAACTGTGGTTTAAAAAGATGATTAAACATAACCAATTTACGACATTTAGCTGATAATTTGGAAGATTTGACTTAGTCGGTTCAGGAATTTTGGAGAACTATGGGATCTTTTTAGGTAGACAAACTGCAAGCGCTCAGTAAACAACTGGATAAGTACCGCTTTAGTACATTCAAGAAATTTGATCGACCCAGTTCTCATCCTTCTACACCAGTATCAGCAAGGTTTTTTAGTTTAAATTCATTTCATAAAATAGACCGAATTCCAGTTAATCGTTATATCAATTTCTGTTTCAGGATGACAACGATCGATTCTATGTCTTCATCAACTCCTACGGAGTCATCATTTGAGCAGCACTTCCGTGATAGAATGAAAGTTTTGGATTGTACGAAGCAGGTAGGATTATTTACAAGTTAGAAATAATTTAAAATTCCAGGAAGGAGGACATTTGTTCTTGTAAAATTTAAGGAGCTGGACTTTGCACTGAATAAACTGCGTATAAGAAGCCAATCTCACCCTTTGGATCACATTCAGTCTATTTCTTTATCACATGCTGAAACCAATGAGCTTGAAAAGCCACTGTCCAGGAATTCATCAAATCATGAGGTTAAGATGCATGAGGTTTTTAAAATTTCATGGAGCGTTTCTCTTATTCTATATTTTATGCTATTCTCACATGTTTTTAAAGATTATAACTTTTAAGTCTATCGAATTACAGTTACTTCAAAGGGATCCTTCAGTTATCAAGACTAATTCTGCTGATGAAAAAATGGAAATGGAACAACATTTCGTGGTGCATTCAAGTCCGGAAAATATTGAGGTCGCAAAATATTTGACCTTTAATGGAATTTTCCAACACTTATTTCAGTACCTTTCCGATTACTTTTTGCGTGATTCAGAATACGGAAGGTGTGACAAGTAATTCACCGGGAGAGCATACAGTTGATCCGCTCATGGTTCGGTATATGAAAATAATTCAAAGTCAAAGGGAAAAAGTGGAGCCGCTTCTTCAACAAACATCAAAGGAAGATGTAATAATTTGAAATTTGGGAAAAAGTTCTAAAAATTAAAACCTATAAGACTTTCGTTTTTTAACAAAAAGACAATTGTTATGCGAACGAAATATTAAAGAGAATCGGTAGTTAGTGCAGAATAAAAAGCAAAAATTTTTTTAGACTCAACTATCGGAAGAGTTGTTTGTTATTGAAACAGGTGAAAGACTCAATACATCCAGTACACCAAGTGATTTCGGATGGTAAATCAAATTACCAAAAAAAATGTATATATGCACAGACTCTTTGTGATCTTCTAGCCATTTTTTCTCTTGTCCCTTTTAGTAATTTTAACATTTCTAAAATATGTGTTTCGAACTTATCATTTTGTTATAAGATTTAAAAATTTGTATAGTTGAATATTTTATTACCTCACTGTTCTGGTAATGTAGATGTAATCAAAGAGTAAAATGATTATAATTTGGCTGGAGCCTCTAAAACCTTATCAAAAATGACAGAAACAAGATTCTTCATTATTTGCTGCTCCTAACGAGATAATTTTCTGGTATAGTGAGACTTTTAATCCCAAAAGCAAAACTTATTTATTGCAGTTGGTTAACTACCACATTATTTGCCAATATACAATATACATTTGTGAAACATAAGGAGAAACCTAAATTTAAAATTTATAAATAAATCTTGGAAGAAAAAAGCAACAAGAATCGAAGACATGTTATCTTACTACTTTCAAAACTAGATATAAATATTACATGTCACCAGGGTCTTGCTGGAGGTCCTAGATCTAAGAGTGCAGTACGCTGAGTGAATGATGGAGGTTCGAATTTATGTTCTGGCTGGATTGGTCTGCCAGTTTTAAATAAGTCCGGATGCTTCTCTCGTAGCTCCTAAAAATTAGAAATGTAAAAACCAAAGAGAGTGAAGATCAGAGCTGATTATGAAGTCAATCAATATATAGCATGAAGCACTAGATTCAGATTCTATTCTGATGAAGTTACAAAAATAATTGATATAGGCCATCAATATGATTAAGACTGAAATTTAAAGATTATTCTGGATTTATGATTGTTGATAATAATGCTGAATTGTAAAATATAATAACGAGCAATATAAGAGCTTCTATGTTTATGGAACATCAAACAATCGGAAGCAATATACCTGATCATCCCAGAAACGTTCGCGAGGATAGCTCCGTTCATTTCCTCGTAATGTTTCCCAGCCCTAAAATATCACACTAAAAAAATGAATCGGATAAAATAAATGTTTATCTAGTACAGCACATCATGGATTTGTCTATTTCTTTAAAAATCAAGTAAAACTTACTCTAGCCTCGTACTTCCAATAATAATAGCTAACTTCGATGAGAACCCAAGCCATAAAGAGTTTTGGTACTACAGCTCGTATCATTGAGCCATAAAATATACCCTAGAAGATTCAAAATATTCATAAAGTTAAATAGCTCATAATCCAAAAATTATGAGATTTAAGTTTGACAGATTAGTTGTTATCCAGATAAGATATATGGCAAAAGCAAAATCTCGCAAAACAATACAGCAGTAGAAAACGCATTCATAAAATTCGGGATAATGCCGTGATAAGATCAGAACAAACTTACTGAAGAAAAGATGTGGAAAAATAAAAATCCATGAATTTATTTTATAGCTTTGTTAAAAAATAATACTTGAGTATCCATCGACTTCGAGAATACGCATTAGATGTAATCAGAAATGACAGGAAAAATGCAACAAACAAAGTGTATAGGAATTAGAAGAATAATGATGTTGAAACTTACAAACGTTGGCTTTAAGAAATGCTTGTAAAGCTTATCCAACGGTGCACGATACAACATGCGAATGGGATTAAGCTGTCTGTGCACAGCATCAACATGGATTGGCTCATCTGGATGAAGATGTTGATCCAGAACCCATTTCCTGAAGTCAAATTTAATTTATCAAGTCTTAAATTTCTATTTCAAACAATAATTTAACATTTGAATTAAAAATAAAGCTTAAATTATATTAAAAAGGATGAAATTCTTTTTCGTGCAGTTCAATCACCAGAACAACTTGGTATCTTTTTCCAGCTTCATCATGATGATTTGTTATTTTTCCTTTTAAGACTACATTAAGACTTGATTTCAAAATAATTCAAATTTTTGATTCTCAAATAGATGGGGAAAAAATAAGTAGCTTACCTTCGCCATTCTCTTTCAGCAGGAGTAAGACCCGCTGCTCGCGCTCTTCATCAGCCATATGTAATTCTAAACTCATTGGTTCATGCTTCAAATGTGGCACTTTGTCGCTCTAAAATTCCGAATTTTAAAAGACTTTACATGAATAAGCTTAAAAACTTCACACAATTAAGCTTAAAAATCAATCCAAAAATCTAAATGAAAGTAGAAACACAACCAAGAAGAGTTATAACCATCACCATACAGTCGGTATTTTTGTCTTGTTTTTTTGAAAGAAGCAAATATGATAACCTAATTTGAAAACTTCACATAAATAAGTACAAAAATTTCTGTAAATGAATAACCAACTTATTAGTTCACACGAACACGACATGAAGTATTACAGTTACAACTTATGACTGTTTTTGCAATCAAAATACAACATTAGTTTAGTTTGAGTTTCATTAATTGAGTAAATTATATATGTCATGATAAAAGTTGCAATATAATATGTATACTTTACAAAGATACAAGTAGTCCTGCATTCTTACTAAATAAGATTGTTACTAAATTACTAAAATTCTTACTTTTCTATCACTTTCTCTCCCAATAATTATCATATGTTTACAGAAAAAATGAAAAAGTTTCAAGATGATACCTTTTGGATAATCGATGGTGGTGGTAAGCCTGATCGCGTATACGGTGAATCACCCTTCTGACGAGTGTAAGGTTCAATCTCGTCTTCGTTAACTGGCATCGGTTTATGGTACTGATTACCCATTTTGTAATCAAACTGATCTGATCTAAAATTTCAGAAAAAGAGGAAGAATGTATTAAAAATTTAAGGCTAAACGGATCAGAAATGATAATATTCCAATATAATTTAAATTTACAATCAAAAACGCTTTGATATTCGGAAAAATGCTAATTCTGTGAACCAAAAATGTACATAAAGATATGAATATCAAAAGACATCTAGAATCAATGAAGAAAAGATCTCCCAACAGTGAGAATTTGTATACTCTGAAAAATAATTCATAAAAAAAAAATTATAAACAAAGACATTTCGTTTTTAATAAATCTCCGATCTAAGTCAATTATGTCAAAAAAGCAAAAAAAGAAAAAAACATTTTAAGTCAGTCGTATCAAAAAAAAAAAACGTCAGTTTGGGGAATGATGCAATCTTGACGTTGACGTACATAAAAAAATTTGACGCCAGATACATAGAGAGAAGAATTTAAATATAGTAATTCTTAACCAGTAAATTATGAGAACCTAAATAAGATCTTTGTCTTTCATCAATGCACTTAGAATGAGAGAAAAATTGATAAATTAGGCGAAAACACCTGTTAACCAACACGTGGGACGCAACTTTTCATAGTATTCACGTGTTGATTGTAATTTCGTGCAGTTGCCTCACCCATCTAGTGAGTATCACTTCCCGTGGTCCCGGGTAATTCCGTGGTAATAGGTACTTATACGTGTGTAGAGGTTCATGCATGGCAAACTGGTTATATATTCAAGTAAGTACGAAAGGCCTATTATCACTTATCGTTTTCTTGCTGGAATTTTCATTACCGTCATATTTGGTAGATACATTGAATGAAGAAAGTGTTTTCTGTACTAATTTTTTGCTAATGTTCTAAATGTATTAATTTTTTCAGTTGTCTCATCATATTTGTTAAGTGTTATTCCTTCTGTGTATGTGCATGGCAATGATAAAATTTGCATTGAAGTCGTGAATGATTGAGATAGATTTGACTTTTTTTTAAATTGATCTCGAAATAATCTTCCGAGATCAATTTCAGTTATTTTTGAATGATTGTCGGTATTAAATGGATGCATATCGCTTCCTTGCTTCTTCAGTGGAATTACGGTATTTAAATTCTTCGATTTCAGGATATTATCATTTTTAGTGTTTAATAATCGACATTTATAATTAGTCATCGGAATCAAGAAATCGGTCATCGATCGGTATATGGGCAGAGTGTATAGTAAATATTAGATTTTTTTATTACATTCATTAAGTTTTGTTTCATTCCTGTCTCTGTTTTGTTAAACCTGTTATTTAAAAAAAAAAAAAAAAAACTTTAGATAGAAAGGATGCTTGCAAAGATTTAACTGCATATAAATTTCTTTCATTACACGATAACACAGTCTCATATTTTTAGCTCAAAAGGAGTTCGAAAATTTGCTGTTCGATTATGGTTTAGAGCTTGATGAAGTGGTTCGTTTTTAGGGTTTGCTTTTTTGTAAATGGGATTAAATATTCGTTATCTTTCAATTTGAATAATGTAAAATATTTTGAATTTTTTTGGACTCTATAAAAAGTTTGTCACCTCTTGATTAAATGGCGCGATGGTTCTTGCTATTTGACATAGGTGACAGGATGCAGCCTCTTTCTTTTTAGTGGGCTAAAATTATTTGTTAAATTTTGGTAGAAATAAAATTATTAACTGTCATAGTGTTCGAAGGGCTTACGGTTTGCATTTCTTACATTTTGAGAGTGCCGTTGTTTCTTTTTTTTTTTTTTTTTGAGATAAATTGTCAGTCGTACCTGTTACAACATCGCATCACCAGTGAAGAATGCCCAGTAATGAGTCGATACGCTCTTTATTGTTCCTAGTGTTTACTTATAATTATCTGGTTTGTAGACTAGCGAAAAAGCTGCCGCACAGAAAGAACAAAGTTTGACAAAGGACGAGGATTTAAGTAAATTATGTGACGAGGAAATATATAAGATAGAATTGCCAGCAAATCGTTATGATTTACTCTGTATTGAAGGTCTCTCGCGTGCTTTACGGATATTCAGAAGCGAGTAAGTTAAAATATTACTATTAATTTCCAAGAACTACTGTGTTTAGGTGAATTTCGAAATTACATAACATGATAAAAACTGATATTGTGAAATTGAACTTTCTGCTATTCATATAAATAGTTTTTCCTGAAGACCAGAATTTTTATTTCAGGATGGAGCCACCAATTTATCGGCGGTTGGGATCGTCTCACTATCGGCATCAGATAATTATTAAGCCAGAAGTTCTATCGATACGGCCGTATGTTGTAGGAGCTGTTTTAGTCGGTGTCAAATTAGATGCGGATTCTTATGCTTCACTAATTGATTTACAAGATAAATTGCATCAAAATATATGTCGAAAAAGGACTTTAGTAGCAATTGGTACTCATGATTTGGATACGGTGCAAGGTTTAATTTTCTTTTTTTTTAGTTCCTTTTAAAAACTTCTGCAAGTCATCTGATTTTTTTTTGAACAGGATTGATGTTCTATTTCAGGTCCTTTTTATTACGGAGCAGAGAAACCAGCTGATTTAAAGTTCAAACCGCTGAATCGAACAAAGAGATACAGCAGAAGAGATGATGGTTCTATACTCGGTAGAGATTTAATTTCCATGTGACAGAATTATATTCCTGAAATGTTCTGAAATTAAATATTTCGATTCTTATATTCCAGAGTGCATATGTTATTATCGAAAAGGTTATGATAGCATCGAAACATTTATTTTAAAAAAATAAAAAAGGAAACCTATTCAAAAGTAATTCATGAACTGAGTAATTATTATTCATCTGTTGTTTTTGCAGGGGGATAGCCATTTGAAACCATATCTTCCGATTATTATCGATAAGGAGCGATATCCAGTAATTAGAGATAAAAATGGAATTGTATTATCTATGCCACCTATTATCAATGGTCTTATATATTTTTCCAATTAAATTGTCAGCTTTAGATTAGTGAACTTTTCAGTCATATTGAGGACTCGAGTCACTTTTTCTGTAGTTTATGATACAAAATTCACGTTTTTCACATTGTGTAAGTATAATCTTTATTGCGAATTTTTCTATTTTTCTTTCAATTTAGGAGAACACACAAAGATCCAGCTTAGTACTCGCAATATATTAATCGAAGTAACCGCCACTGACTTGGAGAAAGCTAAAATAGTGCTTAACACAATTGTTTCAATGTTCAGCCAATATACATCAAATGGAACTGAAGATAATGCTTCATTCCTGTTAGTTTTCATCATTTTTATTAATTTTGAAGTTTGAATTTTTATTATGAAGAATTTTATATTTTGTAATAGGTTCGGCTAATGATGTGAAAAAAAAATTCCGTTAATGATCTTCACAAATACTGACAGATGTTTACACTGGGATTCTAGAAACTTTTTTAGTGTTGAACCAGTGGAAGTTATTTCGGTTGATGGTACTAAACACGAATATCCGGTATGTACCTTCACAAGTGGATGGGCTCTTTTGATTAATATCTTAATTTTTTTTTTAAATTGTTATCATTTATTGAAATTTTTTTTACACTGGAGGATTACGAGTTGCTTCCTGTTTACGAAAACAAACTTTTTTTCTTCTTTGACGTATGCTTTGTCTTGTTTGAAAAGGATGGATTAGTAATTTTTTATAATATCATAGAGTGCTTCATTTCGAGATTTTTAAATTCAGAGTTATTCCTGTAATTATTTCACAGGTTTCTCTAGAGAATCAAAATATATGACTTCATTTCTGATCTGATTTTGCAATATTTTTGTATTATCGCAGTGGTGAAATGAAATATAATTGTGAATCACTACGAGAATGATTTGCACGGGGCAATATTATATGTTGTTGTTCCATTGCAAGAAGGCTTCGTGAGCGATGCGCTGCTCTCTGAAAATATATATTATATTCATAACACTACAGAATCAGAGAAGGAGGTACATGATTGTCTGGGGAGGAAGGAGAAACACGCTTTAATTCATTTCATCCATATTGTCTTATCACTTTGTTTATGTAACATTTGTCTAATACTGGTAAATTATCCTATGTGATATTGTTGTCTTTTTCGGATTCTATTATTTGCATCAGTCAATAATGATTCACTCTGGATTGGTAAACCGCACCAGTGCGGAATCTCCTGCATCCATGATGCGACCATTAAGGACAGGACTGCAAAGTAGAAATAACAAAAAAATGCATAAGTGTTCATTTATCTTTTTTAATGTGCTTTCAACTTTGCAAGTTGTTTAAAAATCATTTTCTTCTTTTTTTTTGTTATAGGATCTCAGTGATAGATCGATGGTAGTAAATGTTAAAAGTATCAATGGAAGAATTGGACTGAACTTGAAAGCTGAAGAAATGTGCTCTCTTCTGAATAAAATGTCACTTAAAACGCAATTACATTTAAAGGAGAAAAGCCAAGATCTTTTAGAAGTAAATTACAAACGTTGTTAGATAAAATTATGTTATATGCATTTTGCTTGATAGAACTAGGAGTTATTGATTTTCTTGATGTGTTTCAGGTTCGAGTCCCTATAACAAGGGCTGATATATTGCATGAATGTGACGTAGCAGAGGATGTTGCTATTGCATATGGTTTTAACCGAATTGAACAACAGTTTCCAAAATCTTATACCACTGGGGAACCATTTCCGTTGAATAAGTTAACAGATTTGCTGCGATATGATATCGCTGCTGCCGGTTGGACTGAAACATTGAACTTTGCTTTGGTTAGTTAAAATGCTACAGTAAATTATGAGAATCTAATTCTTTGTTGACTTAAATTTCCACTTGTAATAAGTCATTTCAGTGTATAATTTCAGTGTAGTCGTGATGATATATCAGTAAAACTAAGAAAGCCAGATAACCTGAAGCAAGCCGTTAAAATTTCGAATCCAAAGACATCCGAATTTCAGGTTATCATAGTTAGATTTCAAGTGAATCTCGATAAAAGTTTTAATAAAATTTTTTGGTTACCATTTCGTTGATTGTAATTCATGAGATGAATTTTCAGGTTTGTGGCTTTTTTGTTAGTTTTTGTGGCTGATGTAAACTATTGCATTAGTATTAGCACTCAATGAAAATTTTCTAGGTAGCGAGAACATCGTTACTTCCTGGTTTATTAAAAGCACTTGCTTCTAACAAGGATATGCCATTGCCTCTTCGATTGTTTGAGATTCAAGACGTGGTTTTGAAAGATTTAATCGCAGGTTGCACTATGCTTTTACTATTTTTAAATTTGTTTTCAGCTGAGTAAACAATTTTAGTTCTCAAGATTGAGGATTTGTCTTTTTAAATGTATAATCGTTTTCTTTGCAGACGTAGGTGCAAGAAATGAGCGTCGTTTTTGTGCTCTGTATTGCAGTAAATCATCAGGCTTTGAGATAATACATGGTCTGCTGGATCGAGTTATGCAGCTTCTTGGAATAAAGTGGACCAAAGATGGAACAGGATATTATATTGCGGCTTGTGATGGTATCATAGATTTAGAAATTTGCTAAAAATTTGTTATGCAAGTAATTTGATGAAAACTAATTGTCTTCCATATAAGTTCAACACTTTTTTGGGTATAATCCAAAGTTAAGAAATTTTATAGAAAATAACGAATAAGACACCAGTCGTCCATGAATATAGTAGATTTATTAAGATTCTGGTCAGAAACAAAAGAACATTGTATAAGATTAGCATTTTTAGATCCCACATATTTGGATGGAAGATGTGCGGAAATTATCGGACCGGCTGGGATTTCCCTTGGTAGAGTTGGTGTTCTGCATCCAAATGTGATAACTGCTTTTGGACTTGCACTACCCATTTCGGTTATAGATATTACTATTGAGCCATTCTTGTGATAAAACTCAGCCGATTATTTTTAGTTGTTGCTGTTATCTGATTTGATTATTAAATGTTTATTGTTGCTCAATAAAAGTAATAAATATCCAATATAGCGACCGCATTAATGATTTCTGCGGTAATGAATCCACGTTTTTTTATCTGAGAAAGTTAGAGGAAGAGCACGATTTTAATCCTTAAAGCTGTAATATGAATTTTTGCTCACTACTATCAATGTATCCAACAAAACATTTATCTCGTTGTTACAGTACAGATCTAGACAATACGGTATAGTTGGTATTTTTTTTGCGATTCTGGTTGTGAACGCGTTGCATATCCACAAGCTATGATATATTTCAAGAAGTATGTGAAATGAGAATTAATTTTGAGAAAATGAGCAAAAAAGTGATGAAGGAGTCCTCCTTCTTTTGACACTTAATCCTCTTTGGGAAGAATAAGGTTGAGTTTTCAACTAGATTGAGATTTATTTTTCTGGAAGGGTTAAAGCGTTTGTCGGATAAAACCGCACACATTTTTTTCAGGTTGGTTTTTAAAAATAGATGTTCAGAAGACTTCGTGACTGATGTACTCGGATTATTTGTTAATCATATTTATCGCAACATGCACTGCAATAATCGGTGAAGCATTAACATATGTACTCGTATATCGTAGCGAACAGTACAAACGTTTGAAGAATGAAATGGAACGAAAAACGAAAAAACTCGAACGAAAGGTTTGTTTCATTGGAGATATTTTTAACCTGAAATAAGAATACTAATTCTTTCTGAAATGTGGCACTGGTGACGCCTCAATGTGATGCTATGGATACAGAACATAGTTTTATTGCTCCAGGACTTGCATAAATGTAATAACACAAAATAATTTTGTTATGTACATCGATACAAACATTAGTGGAAATTTCTAGAGCAATGTTACTACATAGCTATTAACAAGTTAAGAAAGTATTATAAATCCAATTATCCATTCCTGAATTGTTATGATATGAAAGCTATGTTTTAGAAAGAGACAACCGCTGAAGCAGATCGTACAGCAAAGCGAAAAATTGATAGGAAGAAGAGAGGTTAAAAGCAACAAATCGAGATATGAGTATGTTCAAGATGAAAAGTATGCTTGCAATTGGTTTCGCTTTTACTGCACTTCTATCTACATTTTCCTCAATATTCGAGGGACGAGTGGTCGCAAAATTGCCTTTCACTCCAGTATCATGGATTCAAGGTTTTTCATAGGTATGATTCTTTTTTCATCTATGGCACTAAATAATGGCAAGTTATATCACTGAATTTGAGAGAAGGAAAGCGATATAGCATTGATTCTTAAATTTGACACATTTGATACTATAGAGAAGCTTGCTCGAGATAAGAAAAGGAAAAAAGCAAATATTTCCTATAGTATATAATTCTGTAGGATTAACATCTAAAGGTTGAAGACAGTTATTTATTATTGATATAAAAAATACCGGTAGTGTTTTACATTTAAAAATAGTGAATGTCTGGATAGTTGTGATTACGTGGACTTGAAAAGAAATGATCATAGAACTAGTCATATTTCATAATTAGATTCTATAATTTCAGAAATCTCATTGGAGATGATTATACGGATTGTTCATTCATTTTTCTATACATACTTTGTACTATGACATTAAGACAAAATTTACAAAAGATGCTTGGATTTGCACCATCTCGAGCTATGAATCGACAATCACAACCGAATTTCTTTGGTGCTGCACCATCGTCAGCGAATAATTTCAGCTACCTTCGTTAAGATATGGTCATTAGAAGTGACGACAACAGTTCAATCCACCATTCTTGACTGTATCAACTTTTATTATGTTTTGTTATTTTTACTGATGTGAAACATTTTTCTTCAATTCCCATATTTTTTAGCACAAGAAATAGAATAAGGGAAAATAAGTCATTAGATATGGGCACTGTTTTTTTAATTGGCCAATAGCTTCAGTTGCTGTAATACATTGTTTTGGTTTTGACAATTTTCTTCACATAGATTTCTTGGGAAAAAAAAGCATTGTCTAGAAATACAGCAGGCTTCCTGTTTCTGACTCATTTGCAGCAATAACTATTGTAATTGTCAAATTGTACTGTATCATTCATTAACTAATTTCAATGCTTGTGTTTGGAATTTTCTGAAAAACAAAAGCGATGTATAACTATATTTCGATAGCGATATTAAAAAGCAACGAATGATTTTATTGATATCTGAATGCAGTCTAAGAAATTGCAATGAATTTGAAAAAAGAAAAACTTTGGAAACAACAAATACGAAATATTTGTGCTTAATACACTTAGAAGGCAGCAAAAAATGAACATTTCGTACAAGGGGGATAACAAAGATCAAAAATTTTCAAAAGAACAAAAAATAATGCTAAAAATTCATTATATCATGTTTAATGTCTTCAATCTAGATGTAGTACACATAATGACAAATTGCTAAGAGATGATTAAATTTTTAGTGGAAAATAATAATTTTAATAGTTCAGGTTTGTTGTGAGCCATATACTGTGGGATGTATTTTGAAGCCAAATAATCTGAAAAGGAATAGCCTCATAGCCTCAAAACCAAACAGGAATGGTCATCAATTAAAAGTGAAATGCTTAAGCTAATATGTAATATATGAGAGATTAGAAGAAGAGGAAGAAAAGCATTAGGAAGTAAATGTAAAATTAAGAAAAAAAGATTTCAAATTTAGCACATTTTATGAGGTTATCTTGTACAGTGTAACGTTTGATTGGTGTAATCATTTAGCTAATAATATTGTTAAATGTATTGTAAACACTGGGTGCTAGAAGAGTGTAACCCATTGTTCTGACTTATTTAATTTATTAGTATGATCAAGTAGATCACATTGATGTTTTAGAAACTGTATCAATTCTTGCAAAAAAAAAGACTTCATTAAAAAGATCATTTTAGGTTTACTTTTTTATAATTTTATAACAAGAGAAATTCATAATTGATGAATATGGTAATATTGACATTCATCAATAATTGCCTAAAAGCTTTCAATATTTAGTTTTGGTAAAATGATAATGTATGTATATCGAAATATTCATATTTTATAAAATTACTTTTAATGAATGTAGCATACCGTGGAACAAAATTGATAACTGAACGTCTTGGTTTTAATTCTGGATGCTCAAAGAAGAACATATGAGGAAAACCTGTACCAAAAAATGCACCATCAATCTCTTGATGATATTCATTAATAGGCGTATAAATATCCACACAACTTGGACAAAACAATTTCACCGTTGATACTTTCGGAATATCTGATATTCCTAATTAATAAATTATAATTATATAATAAATATTATTATATAATTAGTTATATTTTTTCCATAATTAATTATATTTTTTCAAGAAATGACAAGAAAAAGTTGAATATATTTGTTATTTTGCTATTTCTATAATTCATGTAAACATATAATCTTTTATTAAATTTCTAGTATTAACATAATAAATGTAATAAAACTGAGAAAAAAAATGCTATTTTCTCATTATAAAATTACAAAATTTTTGTCCATCTCATATTATATAATACAATATTATTTCAATTAATATTGCTTATAAAATTTCAAAAAAATTTTTTCATTCTCATTTTTAATATATCTTTTATAAGTTAATAGAAACAGCAATGTTATAAGTACGATCAAAAAAAGAAGAAAAAAATCAAAAACTGAAAACGATATTTCTTACCAACTGGTAGTAAATTTTGTTTTTCACAATAAAAACGAGGACAAAATCCAAAATCACCATTTCTCCATTTAATCATCATTTGATCGATACCGCCACCTGTTAAAATATAGCGTGCATGAATGAGTCCATAAAGTGTTTGAGTTACCTGTTCTCCGATCATACTTTGAGATAAGCGTGCTCTAGCTTCATCCTCATCTATAATTTTCATATTTTCGCAAAGTCTTAAAAATTTTTTAAAAAATATCTGTAGAAAAAATATGCATAAAGCTTTAATTTAACTTATTGATTTGTTATTAACTATAAGATTAAAGTTGAAACAAATAGCTTATCAACTTTTTAAATTCTATCGTCAGAAATTATTTTTTGTATTTCTATGTTACATGTAAATTTAATGCAGCCAAATATTAAAAAAAAAAAAAAAATGTTGACTTACCTGGATCTAAACCTAGAATTAATTCCAAAGCATATTCATAATGTGGTACTTGGTCCTTCAAACCGATTAAATTAGATCGATCAATGATAAAGCTTTCGTCAACCTAAATTATAATTAATTCGAAAAAAAGGAAGGATATGAAGTGAAATACTTACATTAGCTAAGAAATTATTTCTTTATAATACCAAAGAAATTTTTATATTTTTTTCACATAATTTCCATATGTGATATCAAAGAAATTCATATTTTCTCATTTATTTGTAAAACACTTCATAGTACTCTGATTTATTATCCAATAACTTCAAATAAATCATAACAATATCACAATAAAATGTAATTCTACTAAATATTACTTATTAGAGATTTAACTTTAATTGACAAAAGTAAAAGTTAGAAAAACAACTGATAACATTAGCTATTAAAAACTTTATAGATGTAATAGTTTTTTTTTTTTTTTTTTTTAATGCAAAGTAATAAAATAAGTGGACTAAATATGGAAATGATTTATTTAATGCTAAAAAAATAATCGTGTATTAGAAGAAAAACAGAAAAATAGGAAATAGGACAAATAATAAACACACCTCACAGAAGAATTCATTTCCGGGCCTATCACAAAATGAAGGTATCCATGATCCTTCGGAACTACTCATCCCACCACTAATTTTATTATCAAAATGTTAGCAATATCTATTAAGAAATAATCTGAGCTTCTTATCCTTCTTCTGGGACTATAAAACAATCTGAATTTCATTTTAACTTTCATTTACCTACTTCCTCCCTTTCTCCTTCATTCTCTAATTCACCCAAAATAACAAAAATCAACCCATTATTACTACATTCGACAGCAATTCTGATCCATTGATCGTGATTGCTCTATGTAATCAATATAGTTACACGATAATATAAAAGTAATAACTACATTTTTTTTTCATTTCTGTAATTTGTTTTCTTTTTTTTTTTTTACAAATTTATTCATATTATTAGTACCTTTCTTTTTCTTTGTATTTTGTATTCATTCCAAATTAATAAAGATGATATTAGACAAAGAATAAATGCAAACTATTCATTTGAATTTAAAATTAAATTGAGTAGAAGATAAGTCGTTCCTATAAAAAGATACATTTGCTCCAGAAATTATTGACAAATATGATAGCTCAACATAGAAATCCATTTATTGGAATTGGAAAAACTGTTGGAAAACATTTTTGTCACTTTGTTGATACAATTAAAGAAACGTGAATGTAAATATTGATCCTAAATTTCATGCTGCAATTCACTGAAGCATTAACTATTTCGTTTTTTATTTCTCTAAATCCTTAATTAGAGTTAATGAATTGATTAGTTAGGATTAATTTTAAATTGCTCCCATTTAATCATTATTAATTTCCAATAATGAATTACTATGCTTTTCATTTTCAAGAATTCTTTCTCATTCACAGACTTCCTCAGTTATCACTACAGCATGCATTTGTCTGAAGTTTCTGGATCAAATATATTGCTAAAAGTAATTTTAACGAATTACTTTCGTTATCTTTCAAATTAATTTTCATTTTTCAACTGAAACAAACAAATTATTTAGATTTTTTTCTTTCTTTGATTTTCCTTTAACAAAAGCAAAATGGGGAAATTAACAGCAAAAAAATGAATGATTGGAAAAACAAATAAAACATAAGAAATGGTTGTTAAAATGATACTAATATATTTATATTACAGTATTAAGCAATAATTTGGAATTATATGAAATTCACAAATATTTATTTTTCAGCACACTATGATGATTGCATCTTCCTTTTCTTTTGTTTTTTTTTTTTTTTTAATAAATCATCTGAATTTATTTCTTATCCAAAATCACTACTTAGTGTGAAATAAAAAGAAAACAAAAGGTAAACTAAAATTCATTGACAAAAAAACAGAAAGAAAGAAAAATGTTTATTGCAACAAAAGTAGCTCACTATTCGTACTTCTGCACTTCTAGATAAATTCTCAAGATTAATCTTTTTTTTTCAAAAGAATTACCGCTTTATGATATTAATCAATAGATCATACTTATAAAGAAATTTCCAATATAATATTTCATCCAATTATGATAAAATATACGAATCCCTATGATGCAATTTCCTTATAATTGATTAATAGTTTTGAGAAAAAATAACTACATTTTAATTTTCAAAACATTTCTGCTATTCATTACATAACCTTAATTAATAATTTATTATTACTAATAGAAAGTTTTTATCTAATGGGAATGTTATCTGTTAGCATCCAATAGAAAATTCGACAAAATTAATTAATTACTGAAAATGTAACTTGTCAGTTTAAAACAAATTAATAAAAAGAAACATTAAGACATATCGATGCTATTGAGAAAAAAGTTTTTCAAACTCAATGTAAAATTTTATTTGAAATAAAATGCAATGCAAGCAGATGTATGTTTTTTTAATCAAACACTTTGACATACTTGAAAAAAAAAAAAAAAAATCCCATAAGATTAATTCATCCAACAAGAAAAACAGTTCAATTTGTTTATTCTAAAAATCCAGCAGTGGTAGCCGGTTGGATATGTTGTTTCTTTCTATCAAATAGCCATTTGAAGATATGAATTGTGGCGTTTCGAAGATCCTTTTGCCGATACATAAATAACACTACCATATTGAAAGAGTTTATAAATGGTAAATATACGCAAAACATCACAATGATTTGTGATTGTATACTTGGATTCATCATATAAGCACATTGCACTATTGATGGTACCACAACAAGGACTGCAAAAAGATAAATTAGAGAGTAAACATTTAACAAAGCAATAACTATAATAAATTGTACTATAAAAAAAAAAAGGATTAAGTTTCCTTCAACTTGAATTCCCTTCAATATGACTGTTCATTTCTACATTTATTTGATCCTTTCAATGCTTTCATATTAAAGAAACTAATGTAATTTGGTGCAATTTATTCACTACTGATTTTCCGGTTCAAAATTTTAAAATTTTAGACGAACTTTAACACTAAAACTATGATAAATCCTCATAATTGGGTAACTAATGCATTATTTATTAATAATGAAAGAAACATACAAAATGTAAAACAACAAGAAATCAGTGCTGTATGAGTATACCGCTTTTGATTCTTGAGAAAATGTGATAAATTACGGTTATATGAATGCTTTGAAATAAACTGAGGTCCAAACTTCCTAAAAATGATAATATATAAAATTGTTTAAATTTAATTTTGCTAACATGCTAAAATTTCCATCCAATATACTTCACCAAGTTCTTTTTAAATTAAATTTTACTGAATTGTAAAACTCATTGAAGACAAATATAACTTAAAAAGCAAAACAGGAGTGTATCGTGATATAACTACTGGTTATGGAAGGATATTAGGATATACTCTGCATATTCCAAGTTATAACTTTTTTTAAAAAAAAAATTCATACCTTTTAATAGAACAACAACAATAACCATTACAATAATACTAAATAATGAAGCAGTGGAACTCATTAATGTCAATGTGACGTAAAAATGAGAGCTGTAAACGTTTTGTAACCTGAAACATTCATTTTAATTATTTGAAGAAACACAAAGATACGATAAACTAAAAAAAGTTAAAAACAAAATCATTTGCGTAAAATAATAAAATTAATTATTATAACTCACAAGCAAAAATGCGATATATATCGCTTCGGTTCAATTAAACTTGCGACAGCGGTAAAAATCACTGCAATGGCAGTGATTGCATATTGTATGGTAATTAATGCAAAGATTATTCGTTTACTATGAGTATAGTAATACATTGGGAATGCAACGACACAAAATCTTTCCACACTATTCATTAGTAAACTCCAACCATCAACAAAAACATTGTTAGAAGAAAGATTGGCACCTGAAATTACATTGTTTGTTGAAATTGTAATACAGTGGTAGTATTTGTTTAAAATTAATTTCTAATTAGAATCCTTAAATACAATAAGAGAGTTGTTTAAGCTTTTCTTTTTTACTTTCTAGTATTTTGTTTTAGCATTTGAAATGACAAGAAATACCAAAGAAAACCGAAAACTTTCGATTATTTTCTGATAAAAAGGGACGAACATCAAGGACGCAGTCATGATGAACAATAAATTGCTCTTCAACAGAAGAAATAATCCATCGCTGTACTCCCATTAATACTGCACTCATTCCGGTTAATCCATTGTTCAGAAAAACAACTGCAAGAACAAGATAGGGAGCTCTGAAATGTTTAAATTTGTTCAAATGTCATTTATGCATTGATCTATAGCAAAAATTTGAAATAATAATACTAGAAATAATCTTGATGAGATGAAACATTTGACCTGAGCGCTTTACGTAACATCACAAGCAGGAAGATCGGTGTGTTAACCAATACTAGCATTGGACCAATAATCAAATAACCGTATATATGCAAATTATGGCTCAAATGTGATAGCATTGATGTATTGATATTCGTATCATTCAGTAAATCATCAAATCCTGTTCTGTTTACAGTAGCATTCATTGAAATATGTAAGAAATAAAATAATTAGCAGAGTCAATGCAGCGTCGTTCAGTGTCGTATGACTTTCGGTGATAAGATGCAAAACAAATGATATTCCAAATAATAAGTAAATAGTGCTAATGCTAGCAGATATTTCCCTGATAAATGAAATTATAGCAAATTCCTTTAATATACGAAATCTTTGTGATGTGCAAATAACATACAATAAAGTGTGAAAAGTTTGGTTATCACAATTTAAATTTCATTGAAGAATATTGAAAGTAACTGTGCATATTTCGAAAGCAAACGCAAAGTTCAAAAAAAAAAAAAAAAAATTATTAGTCTAAATGTGACATTCCAAATACAGCCATTAGTGTGAATGACATAGCCTATCAGTTGCAAATTAATTCAAAACAAATTTGCTTGAAAATGTTTGTGAAAATCTCACCTATCCATATTAAAATGTAATTATTTCCAAGTGGTAATTTGTAACAAATTATGTCAGTGCTATTTGATCAAAAGCCATTTCAATGCTGATTAAGTACTAATAAATTTATTTTTCTCTAAATGTCATATGGCAAAGTAATTGCATAGCTATAAACAAGCATTACGTCAAATACAGAAACCTTTTGAAACTTGATAATAGTATAATTGGTTAATTTGATTATTCTTTGCAGGATTTGATCACGATTGATAAGAAATATTATTTCAGAAGCGTTTTCATTTTCATATCCTACGGGATTTATTCATGGAATTTTGAAATATTTAATTTGATGACTGTTTGATAGTAGTTGTGAAGAATTTCAACAATTTTGCTTTTTTTAGTGCCCTTGCAAGCAAAGAAATAAAAAAATAAATTGGTAATTTTTTGACATTTTTTTAAAAAGTGAGAAAAAACTTAAAGAGAAAAACTTGCAAAAATTTTGTAGTAAGAAGGATTGTTCAGAATAATTGAAACTTTTTCTATTTTGACTGATGATTAGACCATGTGATTTTTGTATTTTCAACAGAGATAGTTTTGATAAATTATAAGAATTCATGAAGCATCATATATTTTCGTTTATTTCTATTACTAAGAATACAATAAGTAAAGTTTTGTTAATAGTGAGGAGTATCATATCAAATCGACTGAAAAATTATAATTAGTTGATGGATTATTGCTAGAAGCTCATTAATTTGAATATAATGAGGAAACTCAATAGTAGTGGAAAATTATTGCAAAAGAAACGAATGTGATTAATTCGATTTCATTTCATGCATCGAAATTGATACCGCATTGCAATGCTATCATATAATTACTAACTAAATGAAAGTTTTGAAAATAATAAGAAAAAAATCTTCAATATTGTTGAAACTTCTTATACATCACAACTTTGCATAATCATTTTATATTTTATGCAATAAAAATAATTGAAATGAATAGCATCGTTATAAATTTTGAAAATTTTGTTTAATTGAAAGGTTAATTGTTATGTACGACAAACATATCGTAACATCTTTTAAGTGAAAGTAAAATTTTTAAGTTTCATTTACCATTTACCTAGTCCATTTACCTATTTCAAAAGGATTTTCATATCCCAAGAAATTTATTCATGGAAATTTGAAATTATTTAATCTGCTATTGTTTTTCAACTGTCATTAACTGTGAAAATTTCTACGATTTTGCTTCTTTAGTGCATTGACAAGCAAAGAAAAAAAAGGGAAGTTGTAAAATTTGGATTTTAAAAAAAAAAAAAAAACATCTTAATTTAGATGAGAAAAACTTGCATGAATTTTATGCAACAACGAAATTTCAGAATAACTGAAACTTTAATTTTGACTAGCAATTAAGTTGCGGTAATTTCTGTGTTATTGTACTGTGATTTGCCTTTTTAGAGTATAATGCAACACTAATGAAACGAATATTTCAACATCTTTTCGTCTTCCTCTCTACAACTTTTCTGTCTTTTCCTCTTCTATTCAGTTTACTTCTGGTAAATTCATCTCTAGCACTATATTATTTATATTTTTTCCAATGTTATATTTTCTCAATTATATATTTTCCAATGCTTAACAAATCTTTCTCGTACATTAAATTTTTCACTTTGGAATTTATTATATCTGTTTTCCACTTTATTTTTTTTCTTTTTTAAAAATTTCCGCTTCTTGCTATTATACACCAAATTGACCCTTGACACTGTGTGGTATTTGCTATTTAGTATTTGCTTAGGATAATCACTTCGGGATTTAAATCTCGAAACATATAGTACAATATCTTTTATTATGAAATATTGTAATGTTATCACAGCCTTTGAAAGACTTTTCATCAGTTATTGGTAACCTTATAAATTCATGTGAATAATTAAAAATGACCTTGTCAGTCAGCTAAAAATGTGTAAACTAGAATTCAAAATACGACTGCCTGTCAAAAAGTTGAGTTGAAAAGACGATTATTCTGATCTGAATCAAAATGCCTCAAATTATCAGATAGAATAATAAAATCACCTAATGCTATTTTTATTAGCTAAAATACTGGGAAGATCCCCGATACTTGTTGGAGAGAGAGGAAATTATGACAAATCTGGGAAACGTTCTTTTCGATAATTGACGATTAGAAGTAATACTAATACTAAGTTGGAAGCTGACTACTGCTTGTCTTGAAAGGCAGAACGATAGAGCAATTTCTTTATTATGAAAAAGAATGAAATGAAATTGATTAAATCAACCCTTTCTGCATAGTTATCTGTATTTAACCAGAGTGGATCACGAGAGTCCCTATCCAATTGGTTTGATTTCATTCCTTTGTAAGGAACTTATGAGACGCTAAATTTTACGAGTGGAGAAACAAAGGATTGAAATGTAACTAGCAAAATTAATAGTGGAAAGGCAGGAAACGTTTAATATGAATATTTTGCTTGAGAACATTTAGTCATTATGAAATTTGGTTTTTCGATAACATCAATTGAGATTAACACTACTGACAAGCTATTTTATTACTTTTTTTTTGTTAAGGATATACTAATTGTTCAATAATTTTTGTGCACCAATTTTAATATCTTTGTTAAACATAATGTGTTATATTCAATGTTAAATAGTAAATTATGTTAGATAAAACAATTAATCAAACTAACTAAGTATGACGAGACAGATTAATGAGAGACAAGTTTTTGCATGATGTTATTACTTCGCTATCGACACTTGAGAAATTTAAATGGTATTAATATTTAATTATTGATCGAATAATATTGGAATAATTTGTTACAAATTGCCATTAGAAAATGATTACTTATTAATAAATATGCAAAATTTTCATAAATATTTTCAGGTACAATCATCATGTTTTGCATTAATTTGTAACGGATAATTGTGCCATCCAAATTAATAGTTAGATTTTGATTATCATATTTAGATTAATAAGTTTTGTATTTAAAAAATTTTTCTTTCCCTTTCGAAATATGCACAATTATTTCTCAACGTGCTTCAATGGAATTTAAATTTTGGCAACTAAGCTCACATTTTAATGAATATTATTTTATACGTTAAATATGCTACATTCATTAGCATTAGCAATGTTTAATTATTCTCGGAGCATCATTTGTTTTGCATCTCATCACCGAAAGTCATACGACACTGAACGACGCTGCATTGACTCTGCTAATTATTTTATTTCTTACTTATTTTTCCACATATTTCAATGATTATTACTGAAAACAGAACAGGATTTGATGATTTACTGAATGATACGAATATCAATACATCAATGCTATCACATTTGAGCCATAATTTGCATATATACGGTTATTTGATTATTGGTCCAATGCTAGTATTGGTTAACACACCGATCTTCCTGCTTGTGATGTTACGTAAAGCGCTCAGGTCAAATGTTTCATCTCATCAAGATTATTTCTAGTATTATTATTTCAAATTTTTGCTATAGATCAATGCATAAATAACATTTGAGCAAATTTAAACATTTCAGGCTTCCCTACCTGATTCTCTCAACTGTATTTTTTAACAGTGGATTAACCGGATTGAGTGCAATATTAATGGGCGCAAAACGATGGATTGTTTCCGTTGTTCAAGAACAATTTATTGTTCATTATGACTGCGTGCTTAGTGTTCGTTTATTTTTTGCAAAATTTTCCAAAATTATTCGCCTTTCTTAACATTATTTGTTATAGTAATAAATTTGTAAGTAACAAAATGTTGGAAGCTAAAAAGAAAAGAATCCGATTAAATCTGTTGTATTTTAATCAATAATAACATTACTGCATTGTGTCAATAAGAGTAAATAATTAGCAGCAAAATGAATTCAACAGTTAGTGAAATTTCAGGTGGCGATCTTTTTTTTATCAATGTCTTTTCTAAATGGTTGGAGTTTACTAATGAATAGTGTGGAAAGATTTTGTGTCGTTGCATTCCCAATGTATTACTATATTCATAGTAAACGATTAATCTTTGCATTAATTACCATACAATATGCAATCACTGCCATTGCAGTGATTTTTACCGTTGTCGCAAGTTTAATTGAACCGAAGCGATATATATCGCATTTTTGCATGTGAGTTACAATAATCAAACTTATCACTTCATGCTTTTTTCCTGTTTTATCAGTTAGTGTAGTTACATATTTAATGATTTTGCTTTAATCAAAGTATTTCATTAAAATTGATAAAGCATAAACATTGCGAAATAAACATTCTTAGTCTTTAAAATCTGATGAAAATGATCGTTACAGGATGCACAGTGTCTACAGCTCTTATTTTTATGTCACTCTGACATTAATGAGTTCCATTGCTTCATTATTTAGTATTGTCATAATGGTTATTGTTGTTGTTCTATTAAAAAGGTATGAATTTAAAAAAGATATAATTTATCAATATGCATTTACAATTATTTAGTATCATATAATTGAATATAATAATTATAACAGCTCCCAATAGTTATATACCGACACACTCCTATTTAGCTTTTATAGCTATATTTGGCTTCAATTGATTTTGCAATTCAGTGCAATTTGATTCAAACGAATTTTATGAGCA